AAGAGGCAGAAAAGTATAAATGGATTTTTTCTAGCATTGATTGGGAGAACTTTTTCAAAGAACTCAAATTGTACAAATTGTTTCTGCTTTCTATATTAAACTTTATTTGGACTAATTCACGGCTATTTTTTAGGCAGAAGAAGCAGTAGACTTTATGACTTACTTTCATCCCATATTGAACATAGAGGTTGTTTGTTAAATCCATGGCTGCACAGTTTTGACCGACTTGAAAATCAAAACTTTTGGGCGGGAATGTTCTAGCACTTTCTGGGAGTATTGCGTATAGCATTGCTTGTCAATCTGCGCCTTTCTTACATTCCTTTCATTCTTTCATTTGTTTTCGCTTGAATATCTGCTAGATATAACGTAAACTACGTAGCTGCTTTTATAGATATCTTTCTGTTCGAATTTCCTTAAGATGAAAACCTATCTACTAATCATCTTCACAGCTTCTTCCATATTTCTCACTTCAGGTAAGTTTTTGCACTTGCGAAAACATTCTAAAATATCTGAGTATTTCCAGAAGCTGAAGAGTTCGACCTCCCTTTGGTTCTCGACGCTACGGGAGTTTCTGCATGTATTCAGGTTTGCTTGTCGGATCTCTTTTACAGCGCCGTCGAGCTCGTTCACCTACAAGATCCTGTCCAAAGGTTCAGCAATGTGTGTAGGTTGGTTCTACGAGAACATTGGGTGATCTGAATTTTAGACCGAGGAATCTTCCAAGAATAAAGAAAAAATGAGTTTCGCTTATTACATGCTAAATTATAGGGACTCAAAGGTGTGAGATCTCTATTTCCGTCCCTAATGCAAAAAAAAAACTTATCCTTTGCTGGATTATCGAAAAAAAAAGGATTTTTGCAGAAAGTATGATGAGGCATCCATATGTGTAGCTAAGGAAAAGTTCTGTCTGCAATCAACAATCTTTGAGATAGCGCTAAGTGGCATTGACGAGGTGTGCAACGAAAGGGGAGAAGGTGATTTCTGAGTTCATCCAAGCAAAATGGTAATTTCCATAAATGAGGTGGTTATCAGAGGTTTATAATAACTCCATGTTGATAGAAGAAGCTCTACTTTAAATAACTAATTACAAATCTCCTTTACTGAGTAAAGGTGTTGCATAAAAAATTGCTACAGTATCCCTTCACCTATAGCTCATTATAGATATCATGCAGTATAAAGACTGTTTGGAAACCCAGTCGGAAATAGTGTTGAAGAATTGTGACCGAGAGTGTTACTTCACCGATGTCCTTGTCACGCTGTCAGGTAAAGGAAATGCTAAAGAGCTGCAGCGGCTGCAGAACAAGACAAAAGACTTGCAAAAGGTACGTAGCTACATTTTCTAATTTTAGATTGACAAAGGATAAGTAAGGCAAAATCCTATGTTCGGAATATTCAAATAATAAGTTTACTCTCTAAACACACATGCTGTGCAAGCTACATACTCCAGGCCAGTGAGTCACCGGTGTCTCACTCCTTTTTTAGTGCATTATTTTAGGAATTGGCTTCTCTTTGTGTCACCTTTGGCTGCATGTCTTCTTGCATGGCAAGAGATTTTAATATCAATTGTTCTCCAGTAGGAACTATGATTGTGGTAAGTTTGCCTAGTCTCTGCTTGGGGTGATGTAGGTATCACATTTTTCCAGTTCTGAATCATTTATAAAGTGATTAGCTAATATTTTCAGAAAGCATTGCTAAAGCCTTTCTTCACATTTTCCTCAATTTTCGATGAGATTGGACCTCGTGCGAAGTTGTCTGTGTATCGACAAGTTCCACCACAATGCTACTACCTTGTAGATTTTCAAGAAGTTGAAGGAATTACTTTTGGAAAACCTCCAACTAAGGTATTTCGGAGTAGTCGTCAAACTTCAAAACTGATGTATTGTTTGTACAGAAAATGTCCAAGAGTCCCGAAGAAGCTGTACTAAATGAGATTACCAGAAAGGAAGAAATGAAGAAGAAGAAAAAGGCTGAGTTGGAGAAGCAATTCATGATGGATGTTCAGAAAGGTTCATTACACCTGGTTGAAAAAAATAAGCATCGCTAAACCCTCAGCTCTGCAAAATCACTAACTCCCCAGTTCTACAAACCTTCTCTCGAGTTTTTAACAATGACTTCATCAATAGATCTACTCTCCCAGTATTTATCAAGCTGGATAAATAACATATTATTGAATTGAAGTTCTGCACAGGTGTGGGAAATTACACTTCAAGAGTGAGCGCCACTCCCGTCCTAAAAAAAACTATTCCATTTTCGTCCCTGCTCAATGCTTCTTTGGGAAGATTGGGTTCTAAAGAAGCCTTAAAAGCAGAAAAATGCATTATCTGTTTGTCATTCTAGATGTCAAAATATCTCATGAGTTTGAACTGATTTTTTTTTTTGAAATGAAAAATAATTAGTTAGCAATTTTCTAGGGGGGAATTCAAAGGCGATGAATATAAACAAGTTACCTCATTTCAGGAATGTGAAAGCTTGTCTTCAATCGTCAGCAATGATTATCAGTCTGGAACAGTGCTAATGAAGACCGATCAATTAGATTTACATCTATTAACATTGCTATAATCAAGATTTACCTTAACATGAAGCTCTCACTTATAGTCTACATTAAACCTAGTCATTGATCAGCTCTGTAAAATAATACATGTTTGCAAAAATTTTTGTACTTTGCATATTTCATGGAATAAAGTTAGTTTCTTGTTTATCTTTCTAATAATTTGACTAAAGATAGAGACACTACATGGAAGGTGTTCACTTATATTTCGTGATAACAACAATTAAGGTATTGCGGTATTATTTCCGCATGATAGGGTATTTTTATTGTGTATTTCTATATTCAAGGTAAACTAGATGTTACTCCATCTATACATAATACATATAGTTCATATAGTTTTGATACGAAAACGTACTG